CCCTTGCTCGAATCCCATTGCATGCACAGTTACTCTCTTCAAACCGCCAGCGGAAAGAACAGATTTCCATTTTTAGGAGTAGTCATCTCCACTCGTTAAGGCTTTTGCAGGATCTGGAGACTGGATTTGGAAACGAACCATCTACAGCAAATGTTAGGAACAGGATCTCCAGGCTTCACTGGTGACGGAAGAATCATTCCAGCCCCAGAGGCCAATCTCAATACCCCCACAGGAGTACAAGTAGCCGATCAGGTACTAACTATTCGTAGATGCGGCGCGTGTTTGCATCAAAACCTTGTCAGCCGCGACCCCTATTCCGTTGGTTAACAAACCTTGTTTGTGTGCCTTAGCTGGGAAGCCCAGTTACTACGTTGTACGTCTTGGATAGTGGAAACAGGCGAGTTCGCAAAGTATATGTATCTCCGGCAGACAGGGGCGAAAGCTCCACAGAGGTCCCCTGTCCGGACGGCACGTTTTCAAGTAGCAAAGGAGGCTCCACAGTGGAAGATTGCATGCCTTGTCCAGCTGGTTAGCAAGGAAGCACTCCTTCCCTGAAAGTACCCAACGCAGGCTCCTCCTTGCACTATTTATAATTTACAAAGGAACCTTTCTCCGAATAGTGGAGTTAAAGCAATGTGTTAAGTACGGCAACTTGCAAGTCCTATTCAGTCGTATCTGTGGTTAATTGTCTTCAGGTTATGCTTGCCAGGGACAAGGACAGCCTGAGGAGGTAACTGGGCGCTGCTCTGACGGGTATTATTGCCCCGAGGGAAGTTCAAAGACCAATGCGGTGGCATGCCCTCCGGGTCACTTTTGCAAGGCTCTTGAAAGTAAGAGAGTGGAGGTGGGAACTGCGGCGGCGACAGCAGTAGCATCATTTTCATCAGCAGCAAGAGATTATCATGTGTTGGGGGCTTCTCCGAAAGGGCTGAGGTGACGAATCTCAGCGGGCTCCTCGGAGCATGAGGACTTGCAGAAAGGAATGTATGTGAGTATGCATGCTCAGGCCTGTTTACCAATGTCGCTCTTGGAGCGGATGTCGAACCCACTATTTCTGGGGATTTCGTTGGAAGCGGCACTCCTGACAAAGTGACAAATGGTGACATTGCCTCAGGCACCGGCTGGGTTTCGAAAAACACCTCCGGCGGTGGCCACGGTCTGACAGTTGATTTTGGAGACCTATTTTTCATCAACGAAGTCACAGTTATCTCTGGAACGGCAGAGGGGAAGGACGTGCGTGAAATCTTTCTCGTCTCTAGTTCTCACATCCGGCCTCTTCAGCGCTGTTCCTTTTCGGCAATTCAAAAGTTAGTTACCCTGCTCCTTATGGAACACCCAAGGTGCAGGGACAGAATGCTTGTAGGTTGCTCTTGCTCCCGCCCCTTGTTGCCTTTGACGCAGATCCTGTCATCATTCTCAGTCCATTACTTCCACTCTGCTTCATCCACCTACGTCGAGCTTTTCTCTGTTGCATCAAATAAAGAATCTACTTACTCTCTCAGCTTCGGAGAGGTGGCTACTAGGAAGATCATGCTGTCAACGACGGAATCCCAAGTCTACCTGTCGGAAATTCAGGTCTCTGGAACTAGTTCTCCTGGTAAGCAATATGCCAGCGTGGATATTAGCTTCACCACTTAGCCGCATTGCTGTAAAAAGGCGAAGGCAGGCCCCTTTCTTCGATAATGCGGGACTGCTTGATACATTCATCTTGTTTGCCATGCGATGAGGTAGGCTCCGCCGCCCCTACCCCTTGCCCTTATGGCTGGTATCAGGACTTGAAGGCTCAAATGGCATGCAAGATATGCCCTGAGGGATATTTCTGCCAGGATAGCACAGTTGCGCCGACATCGAAGTGCCACGCCGGCTACTACTGCCCCAAAGGGTCGTACACTGGATACGAAAACCCATGCCCCCTGGGAACTTACAATAATGTAGAAGGTGCCAAAGCCATCTCAGAATGCTTGCCTTGTCCTATAGGGAAGTACTGTGGCTCCCGTGGGCTCGCACATCCAACAGGAGAATGCTTTGCAGTAAGCTTTCCTCTAGTCGTGGCCTACTTGAAACTAGAAAGACACTGGCAATCCCTGGTACGAAGAGCTTAACTTTCATCAGTGCACTGTCGTATGTACTGTCCTACAACGTCGCAGGGCTATTACTGCAAAGGTGGGGCGTGGTCACCTGCTCCTCACCCTGAGGAAAACAACCCAGACGGAATTTCTGGACCAGCAGGCAGCCTCTGCCCCATTGGCTACTACTGCCCAGAGGGGACGCAATCTCCACAACCTTGCCAAGAGTAAGTAAAAGCACTGCACGTTCATGTGGTCTGAAGCTTAAACCTCAAGGGAAGCAAATGCTGCTTCCGGGATGAGAGTTGGAGGATACCGCAGTACAAAGCCATGGGGATTTCCTAATGTAACGCAGAGGGACAAGTTCTTCGATTGCCGGAGGAAAAGAACAAAATGAATGTCTAAAATGCCAGCCTGGGCAGTACTGTTCAAGCTCGATGGGGACTGGTCTTTGCGCTGAGGGCTACTACTGCACGGGAGGCAATACAACGCCTACGCCAATGGACGGTACCCACGGAAACATCTGCCCAGCCGGCCACTTTTGCCCGGGAGGATCTTATGTGGCGCAGGTACGAAGGTCTCATGCTTTTAGAAAACGCCCTTTGGATATTATTTGGTAAGCTGTGCCGTTCTCCGCCACTCCAGGGCATCTATCGTCATGCACACACCACATCTGTCTCTGAGGCTTGATGCAGCTCTGCCCTCCAGGTACATACAGTGAGGGCAGGAGAGGAGAGTGCACTCCATGTACGGTCGGTTGGAAATGCTCACAGTCTGGCCTGGGAACGCCAGAGGCACCCTGCCCGGCAGGTCATGCATGTGGCGAAGGTACAATATTTCCTGTGCCTTGTCCGCCGGGGACATTCGCCGCCAGCCAAGGCAGCTCCTCATGCGAGCTTTGCTCTAGTAAGACGAACAGTTCCGTAGGCTTCTAAATAGTGTTTGGGGCTCGATTTAGACCTACTGAAATGTGTGTAGTCCAGTTACGAAATTCCGATGACCTTCCTCAGGTGGGTTCGTTTGCGACGATGCTGGGCTCGCTCGGCCTTCCGCAATATGCCCTAGTGGTTTTGTTTGTGCCAGAGGTGCTCGCACGGACTTGCTGCCCCTATACGTATTTGGTGAGGATAACGATGACTACGGGTTGTGTCCCGTTGGTCACTATTGCCCCTCTGGGTCCGCTACTCCGACACCTTGCGCTCGCGGGACTTTCCAGGTGCGGCTTTCCCCTCAGTGCTCTACTCACCGGCCCTCCACCCTGCGAATTGCTCCGCCGGGTCTCGGTTATTGCTTTGACTTAGGATGGAGTTGGTGCATTAAACTGCAAGGCCTGCCGTCCAGGATATGCATGCACCGAAGAAGGCCTAACGACTCCGCATGTTCTCTGTGATGCTGGATATTACTGCTTAAAAGGATCCGAAAAACCTCGCCCTACGGATGGGCTGTCAGGCGGGCGGTGTCCTGCTGGGTGGCACTGCCCTCCCGGCAGCATTAAGCCTCGCGCATGCCCTCCAGGGCAGTACACTTCGGAGTCTGGACAGGCGAAATGCAGACCCTGTCCTGCGGGATTTGAGTGCCATTTGTTAAGCTCCACGCCGACGACTTGTCCTGATGGGTTGGTAAGGCTTGATAGATTTGGGGTACTCGGTGCATCTCTGGCTCCACAAGTGCTTTCTCTAGAAGTCCACAGCTTATGCCTGTTTAATGTGTATGCTCCTGATGAAATGCAATGCCGAAGGTAAGGTAACTTGTCTTGAATTTGTGAGGAGAGGACCCAATGTAGAGAGTAAGCGTGGTTGTAGCAGTGTTCGCTACTGGCGACACCGCACGGGATCATGAGAACCCACCAAGTCGTTTTTTTCATTAAGAAGTATAAGGGCAAATCAGTGAGTAAACCGGAGGCTTCATACAAGGAAGCCGTCAGGCGACTCATGTTGCGGTACCAAAGGGCATACTGCTGTGTGCCAGACCCTCTCTAACAACTGTGCGTGCCGCTCAGGTTTGTCCCGAAGGAACGATGAAGGGGAGTCACTGCCCCTACGGTTCCTACAAAGTGCTCAGCGAGTCTAACGACCTGACATCTGCTTGCGCTCCTTGTCCAAGAGGCAAGTACTGCCGAGCTGGGGTCATTGCGGGCAACTGCACCGCTGGGTAAGCTGGAGTCCCGTAACTTCACATTTCGCCTTTTGTTGTGAGTGAATTGTACGGGATGGAGAGAAAGGTATTTGTACCAGCTTCTCTGAAGGCATAATTAAATTTAGTGTCAAATTGGTCATATTGAAGGATACTTACTAGAATTTCCCTCTTCTACCCAACTACTTTAAGATATCTCAGTGTTCGGAGGTCTTGCGCTCATCATTTGTGATTAGCATTAAACCACTGAGTATGAATCATTAGGGTTTCTCATATTTATGGGGTTCTCTACTTTAAAAGATCTTTCGTTAGAGACGCTCTCGTACTTCTAGTATTACATATTTACACATAAATTTAAAGTCATTTTTTCTACAACAAAATAGAGAAATATGCCCTAGGGTCTCTCTCTAAACCACGTTTCTGTGTTTCCTTATGGGCTTCTCTGTCGAGCACATCTCAGCTTCTTGTGCGGCCTGGGGAACTCTGTGCCCAATCCTGACTACTCAAAGTTTTCACGGAGCCCCTATATCCCAACAGAAGTCCAAGGGTCTGGCGAAGGGGTCGTGCTAACTGAGGCAAACTGGGAAGCCGTCCTGAACAAGGCGTACGGAGGCATTCCTTGCCCGTCGGGGTACTATTGCTCAGAGGGAGCCGCGAAGCCCAGCAAATGCAATCGGGGCTCCTTTAGGCTAAACAAGGGAGGCCGCTGGCCATCTGATTGCTCCCTATGCCCTTCAGGGTGAGTGTAGAACTACTAGTAGTGATTTCCTTACCCTTCTCTTGGAGTGTAGCGTCTTTTTCTGGCCTACCGAGTGAGGAACAAGGTTCGCCAAGGCATGAAAATGTTATGAATGTACTTTTTAATTTGCATTTCTGGATGAAACGCAGCAACGAATTGCAGATTAAAAGTCCCATCATGTTAATGGATTGCATGCAGTTACTACTGTCTACCTACGGATGCGCATCCTACACCGTGCCCAAAGGGTCACTATTGCAACCGTGGTTCCCAAACCCCGGCAGCATGTCCACAGGGTTATTATAACCCTAAGGAAGGGCAGTCGACTTCCGCGAGTTGCTTGTTATGCCCTGCTGGTAAGCTGGCCTGATGCAGTTCCTGTCTCAGAAGAGCAAAGACGCTCCAGTTTCAGATTCCCCGTCACAGGAATTTTCCGATGCTGCAGGAGTGGGCATTAGCTTTCAGTGTATCCTAACCTCTCAGGCATGGTGTGCCCCGAAGAAGGAACGGGCGAGCTGACGGATGAAAACACATGCCCACGGGGGCATTTTTGCTTGCAAGGATCTAGCAAGCCTATGCCATGCTCCCCTGGATATCACAACCCTCAAAAAGGCTCACTTAATTCGTCAGCTTGCCAGCCATGCCCCGGTGGGTGGCAAGGAGTGTCGCGCAACAGCCGGGGCGTGAGGGAACTTCTAAATGCATGGCTTAACATTGACAGCTCAAACCGTACACACACTCAAACGTTTTCCGAGTCTCACGTCGTGGTGGGGTTGCGCAGGCGGAGTCTACTGCGGAGACCGAGGAACTCCAGACCTGTCTGTCCCTTGCCCTGGAGGGCACTACTGTAGTGTGCAAAGCCCAGCAGCGATGCCGTGCCTACCTGGTACTTACTGTCCGCCTGGATCGGCAATGCCCATCCAATGCCCTGGAGGGTCATTCTGCCCTATGATGTCGGCTGAGCCTAGCGCCTGCCCTCAAGGTTTCTTCTGCCCTGAGGGAGCAAGAACTCCTGTTGCTTGCCCTGCTGGAAGTCGAATGAATCCGTATGACATGTTGCGAAGCTCGTCGAGCACTGCTTGTGAGCCATGTGCAGAGGTGAGATGCATGGGCACTGGATTGGATCCACAAAAGAAGGTACAGATCTCTCTGGATTGAGATACGGAATCGAGAAGGATGTCTCGGAGCTGCGACCTGTGTTGATTTTCCCATATGTTTCCCTTTTTGCGGCATAGGGAAGTTACAGCGACTCCGATGGGAGTGCAGACTGCACTCCTTGCCAGCCTGGCTATCTCTGCCAGGAAGGCTGTAGCAGCAAGTACGCTATAGAAACTCCCTCAGGAAGCCATTTATGGCTGCCGCGGTGAGTGTACCTCCAGTGCCCTTCGGCGCTATGTTGAGTGATCTGTGCCCTTAAGGTATCCACAACATCTACTTGGAGATGGAGGAGTCCCCTGTACGCCAGGTCACTATTGCCCGGAGGGTTCATCTACCATGCTTCCTTGCCCAGTGGGTACATATAATCCTGACTTCGCAAAGGGAAGCCCTGAAGACTGCCTCGAATGCCCGGTATTTGCGCTCTCTCCCATATTTAGCATATTCGCGTTGCTTGCACGGCTGTAGTCGCAATATGCGGATGCGTTCTGCAAGATAATTCGCGCTCTATTTTTGCGTCGCAAAGTGTGACCTTTACTTGGAACCGTCTTTACGTACTGCCAATTGAATAGGTTGGATCGTTTACCAATGCGATGGGGCAAACTAGCTGTATCGCTTGTGGGGGCAGCTCTTTCACTGAAGTTGGATCCTTCGAGTGCAAATGCTTGGGAGCAAACAGGGCTTACCAACCAAGCACTGGGGCTTGCGTTTGCAAGACAGGATACGAGCATATTGTTTCCGGTAGCCTGCCCTGAACAGCTGTTTTCGTTCCCCTTAGTGTCGTGCGCCCGTGTGTGGTGTGTGTGCCATTCTGACTCTACTCAGCTAATAGTACGGGGAGCAATTTTTTCGCAATCAGAAACAAACTGTCTCCATGTTTCCCTCTCCTACTGATGACTTGAGCTCTCTAGTTGCGTTACTGCAGGCCAAGACGTATCGGACGAAGATAGTGCCGAACCGTGTGCTCCCAAGGTAGGTGTAGCACGAGACAGTCTTCAAATCCATGGGCTTCTCTACATCCAACGAGAATATCAAACGTTCGGCATTTCCCCATAGTGAATTTGGCTTGGTTCTTGACGTGCTTGCCCAGGAATATCCCGTGTGCAGGGAAAGCAGAGTCTATACACACACGGGAAGTTGTCAAGAGAAGAGCCAAGTCTGTGATGACTACTGTGGGCCCAAGGGTGGCAAGTACAAACCGGAGAGCGCCCTGTGTGAATGCACTGGCCTTTCTGACTCTGAAGAGATATGCGATGAGGCGTGCAAGCGACAGCAAAAAGCTATTTCAATAGAAAATGGAAACCTGGTGGTAACGAATAAAGAGGGCAGCATCCATTCAACCTTCAGTTTGACGGCTCTCAGCGGACGCTCTGATGTGCTGTTCGGCAACCTGACCTGTTCATCAAGCAGCTGCTCAGCGGTATTGTACTCCGTGGATCCAGGTTAGAAGGCTATCACCGACTTTATCATAGAATGCTCCTAACAAATCGCCTGTCATCGGATGGTAGTTGGTGGCAGTGCGTCGCTGGTGGCAATGGGTCGCTATTGGCAATGTGTTATGAGCAGATGGCACCACGCATGGATATTTGGGAGTGCCAGATGAGCTACTGAAATCAATCAATGAACGGATCAACTCAAAAGTGGCTAGCCAGCGAGCCACAGTTTTCACTCCCCTTCGACAGCCTCAACCTACGCTGCTTCGGGAGGGAGCAGCTCAGGTGCCATCTGTTGAGAGCCCGTTACTATGCATTCTGGCTGGATCGTCCATTTTATGGAAATTGGAGCCAGGAACAGATCCCGTGTACCCCGTGCATGTGCATGATTCCCTTTATAACACAGATATGGGATTTGACGCCGGAGAATTCAAGTGAGTGTGTTCACCAACCGACGGCAGATTTGTTCCCTTGAATTCAGGGAAACGCAGTTCTTGGCCCTGCTTCCAAAATGCAACTGTGAATAATTATGCTGTGCCCATTGTCAAAGGCGACTCAAGACTGAAATGGAGTCGGGGGCACCCCTACTGCTTTTTGGTCACACGTTTACAAGTCCGGGGATCGTAGTCTTCGCCACAAACCGTAATCTAAATCGAATTGTCTTTATTAAAGTCGTGAACGAAGATGCACACTGCGGATCCATGGAAAATGGCTTGCCGCATCCAGCAACGAGCACGTCCATTTCAGCGTTTCCCCTAGAGTTCCCTGGGAGTGTTCGCTTTGGATCGCCCGACTGGTCAACGCTGTTTATAACATTTGGCATTGTGTTGCTTATTGCCATTTGCTTGTTGCTGATGCAATATCAATTGCGCGTGCACTACTGGATTTTCGCGCCGCCTCTTCAAGTCGAGCATGACAATGATACAAAAGATACGTGGGTCATTTCCATTGATGTTTTGGTGGCTAAGTTTTGGTTGCCAAGCTGTGTGTGTCTGTTTTCGCTAGTGCTGCTGGTGAGGCGCCACTAGCTAGAAATACCAATCTAAAACTTAGCCCGCCTTCTGCTTAATTTTGTGAGGGCTTCTGGGGCGTTTGTGTGAGTTTCTGTGGATTCGTTTACTCACTGTGTCAGGCAGCCAAACCGGCCAAAAAAATTCCAACCATCCGTACTCTGCTGTAAAGGAACAGCAGCGCATGAGTCCGAGGTTGCAAATACATTCACTGACTTGGACCCTCGTGTTTTCCAGGCTGTATATTGCAAACTTCTCGAAACAATGAGTATGCTCAAAGAACAACTACAGCACATGGGTTTGCAACAGGACCAGCTTATCGAACTCGAGCTCGATGTGTCGGGGCCTCTACGGTCATCGCTCTTCCCCGTCTTAGCCGAGGCTTCCGAGAAAAAGGTATCACGTAGTGGGCACATGTGATACTGTGCATGCGGGTGTTTGGTCTAAAGCAGTCTTTTGTCTCTCGTTTGCAGCACGTCACTGGCTCTTGTGTGCTCTGGTTCTGGAAGGCCGCTCTGCAATGATGAGGATACACCTGGTCACCGCCGGGCTGCGTTCCAAAATCAGAGCAGGCAACAATAAAGTTAAAGGAAACCCTGGTTGTGTGCAGGGCCTTCAACCATTCAAACCGGTATGAGATAGCAGTGCAGCGCATGGAGGTAATTTGTTGTGTGACTTCGCAGGCGTGGGTTGAAGTAGAAGATGCGGAGCTGAGCGCAAAGCTGCTTGATATTAAAAGCCTTATGCATCTTCGAAGAGGAGCATTTGAGGAGGCTGTTACGAAAGCGTATGAAGCCATGACGGATGCCGAAGTGAGGCGGGCGGGTCCTATCAGTGGTACACTTCAAGAAGCAGCTGCACTAGTTCAACTGGAGCAGCATAATCTCTCCGCATTTTCCCCCCCAAGGCATTTGAGGTGACCCATTATGTTCGTGTTCATACGGTTTTGTGAGCGCTGCATAGATACAGAGACTGGAGCAGCCAAATGTTTCAAAGCTGACCGCAAACCTGGATTCTCAAGCAATTGAGGCGACCATCCGTCAAGCATCTGCAGCATTCATCCAGGTTGCCAGCCTTAACCCAGACTCATTTGCTGCCGCTCTTGGTGTAGAGGAAACAATTGCCACAACGCAAGCCCTCAAGCACCTACAAGGAATGGAAGCAGCCACACAGACGCTGAAGGAGGTGACGGCGAACCTCGATGGGCAAGATCCGACGGTAGCCGATGAATTGTTGACGAGCTGCGCCTCTCGCATAAAGGAGAGACTTGAGGTAGATATGCGGCAGCAGATAGTGTTTCCCCCCATTTCCCTCCGGTGGCATGCGACGCCGCGGCCAGGAAAGCTTGTTACAGATCGAACATGATTTTGCTTGTACTTAGTGAGGCTTTTGCAGGCGAGCGACTTCTGGTCTGTGAGCAACGATGTTCTCAAGACGCAGGCAAGGAAATGTACTTAAATGGCTGTATGGAGCTTTTGAACACGGGCCTGAAGGCCAAAATGACTTAGTCTCGTTCCACACTTGTGGTCAGGCAACAATGATTTCCGAACACATGAAGATATGTGAAATGAGACGCTCTATTGACGAGACCATTGGAGGGCTCATTGACAAACGAAACTCGGCATTTACCCAGCAAGTCGGCGTTTTGCTCTGTGCCCTGCCGTTGGCCGAGAAACTTCTCAAAATTGAGTAGTTCATGTACTGCTTGCATGTGTATGTTATTTTGAACATCTCAGCGGCGTGGACTACTGTGTGCATTCCTGGACCTTCCTAACAGCGTGTCTTATTGTGTCGTCTCCTACCTTTCTGCACAGCGATGTTCCAGGGACGCATCCTTGCTACGCAACTTAGCGGAATTCAGTATAGCGTTAGCAACCCTTCAAGAAGATATATATGGCCACTTTTGCAGTGCACGAAGGCGATACGAAAAGGCTCTATCTACAAAGAGGCTAAGTGTGCTACCTGTCATCCAGACGCAGTTCACGGAAGCTGCTGAAGGCGTCTATCAGGTCAGGCTTCAAACATAAGCAAGCGGCACGCACATAAACCTTTGGTTCGACGTGGTGTAAATGATAGGTGGCAACAAATTGGCCCATCCGCGGCAAGCAAAGTGATAAGAAGCAGTATTTCTCACCATCTCCGGCTGAAGCATCTGTCCGCAGGAATTTGTGCAGCATCAAACGGATATAGAAGCCGCAATTCAGGAATGCATGGATTCGAATGACGCCGAACTAAATACGGCTGCCATGGAGTTGCTTTTAGAGTGCAGAAGGGCTCTAGAAGAAGCCAAACGCGTGGGAATTGCAATTCTAACACTTGGGCTGCAGCTGATATGCAATGCACGCAAGGTGCCTTTTACAAGCACTAATAAGGGCAGCCAAATCCGTGTGCGTGTTTGTGTCTTAGGAAATTGCCAACATAGAGCAGCTCACCT